CCCCGAATCGCGCCGCCGCTTCTCTTCTTAAAGATACCGATAAGTAGCGCACAATGACGACCATTGATGCCTAGGGCACACATCGGGCGATACGCGTCCGATCAGCAAACAAGCGATGCGATGACTTTTTCATCAAAGTTTCCGGTGTGCTCGCGGCAGGGCAGACTGGCAGAGCCAAAATAAACACCCCCGATAAACCCCCAGAAAAAAACGTGCGTGAGTGAAAGATGGGAAAAGAGAGGTGAGCCCTCCGATCCGAAATGCAGTGTAAAAAGTCAGGTACTCAGGTCAGCGACGCTTGGATTAAACAATAAGTTTCTGGAAGCCCGACCGAACCTTTGACCCAATTTCGAACGAGACGAAAATGTGGTGCCCCCGTAAACACGAATTTAAATTGTCCATGAAAATATGATTCTGGTAAACTTTATAAGAACCTTTTTGTTCCATCTGGAAATATTTCAATTTTTCCCAATTTTTTTCTGGGAAGATTTCCAATTTCTCCTAAAAAATATCGTGCTTTAAAATCCCTACCCCTGACCGCAGTTCGGAATGATACCGACCTTGTCTGGCCTCGCTGGGGTTGGGCTCGGTGACCGGCGGGGGCGGCGGCGCGCCGGGCAGGAGGGCGGCGGCCACGGCCTCGGCGGAAGAGGCGCCGCGCGGCAGGAACAGGCTGCGGCTCACCGCCAGGGCTGCAACAGACAATAACGCACATGGTCACCATGATGTACAGCACCCGCATCGGCAAGGAGAGCGAAGAGCGTCGGGTGGCGACGTTCGACCTGCGACGTGAACGGCGCGATATCGAAAGTAGAAGAAAAGGAGGCGCTCAGTTTGCCCCCGGTCGCTGCTGTTGCTGCTGCTGCTGCTGCTGCGTCGCTGCTCAGAGAGCCCGAGCGCCCCGCGCGCGCCTCGGGAGAGTGTTGCACGCGAACTGAACAGCCCACATGATCCAGATGGGCGAGAGAGATAGTGAGGGTAATTAACTTGGCAATCCGTGAGCAGCAGCGCCTTCCCCGCCACCTCCCGTCCTCCCCCCGCTCGCCCCGCCGCCCCGCATCCTCTCCGTGCGACCTGACTGGCGCGAGGCGGTGTAGGGCCCGGCCGCCCCCGCCTCCCGCCCCCACACACCACGACCTGCCCGACTGCCGCTACCGCCCAGTCACCCGCGAGAGGCATTGTAGCAAATAAGGAGATTAATTGGTGGGAACTGAAGCTCCGCGCGCGCAACACTCTATGCGTGCGACCAAAACAAACGAGTGCTTTTCGAAAACCCTCGCAAATGAACGTTCCCTTCTGGCCTTATTCGCGAATGGCGACGCGATAAATATGGAAACGGTCGAAAGGACGAAAGGATTAAAACGTTATCGCGGTTCGCCGTGGTGTATCGTTCCGAGGCGCGCCGCACCGCCGCACCGCACCTCGCCAAACGTCGTCGTGCCTTTTGTTTGGCGATGCAGCGGCAGCAGGGTAGGGTAGGGTAAAGGGACGGGTGCGTGAAGGATGTAGGGTATGACATGTTATCTCGGGGCAACACACACACACACACACACACAGAGCGGCCAAGGGAAGGGGAGGGTGTCGGAGCTGTTGGTGTTTCTCCCCTCCCCCCTCCCCTCCCACGCGGGCGGGCCGCGGGCGAGCGAGGTGCCTTATCTCCACACAATTATCTTGATAAGGAATCGCCAGAGCAGAGACGCACTGCGCCACGACGCTCCATTATCTTTATTTAAATGGTAATTCAAACGTTATCTCTCGCCCTCGCCTCGCCGTCTCTCCGTACCCTCCTCCTCCTCCTCCTCCTCCTCCTCCTCCTCCTCCTCGCCCCGCTCCGTCTTCGTACGTGCTCGCTCGCTATGCGGGAGGGGGGTCGCGCGCGTGCGCCGCGCACCGGGACGCGATGTGACTCCGAGGACCTGCCCTCCTGTAGGGAGGACGTCGTCCCGGGACGAGCGGGACGAGTGTATTGCATTCACTTCGCGGACGCACTGCTGTACCGTTGCTGTAGACGATCACGGCATGCACGGGCCCGGAGAGGTGGACTCGCGAGCGCGGCGCGGCGATGCGGCGGGAGGGGAGAGGAGGGGCGTGGTCGGACAAAACAAAAGGAGTGGAGGGGAGGGAAGCGGGGAGAGGAAGGGGAGGGGCGCGGGAAGACCGGCGAGCCCAAATCCAAATATCTCGCCATCTGAGATCCAGGCCGGCGATAACAACCACTCTTTGCTCGCGGGGCCTCGTCGGGGCCAGCGGGGGGAAAAGGGGGAGAAGGGGAAGGGGGAGAAGGGGGAGGGGGAGGGGCGTAGCGTAGATACGAGCTGACTGACGGAGAGGAGGTTGCGGGAGAGCGGGGGGAGGGGGGGGGGGAGGGGCGGCGCGAAGGCCAAACACAGGGTGCGCAGGGTGGGCCCTGATCGCGCACACCCTGTGCGTCCTCTGCACGGTCCCGCCTGTCACAGTGCCTGACGCGCACACGTACGACGGACACCCCGCCGGTCAGGACGGCGGCGGCGGCCCCTCAATGTCGGGCCGCATGTGCGGGGCCAACGCACCGCACCGCCCCTCGCCTATCTGGGCTCCGCGATCACGGGCACGCCCCGCCCCGCCCCGCCCCGCGCGTCTCGGCCCGCACGCCAGCAGGGGACATCGCAGAGCCGAAAGGACGTATAATCGCATAATCGCGAAAAGGCTTTCCCGTGAGTCGCTGCTCGCGCCGCTGCCGGCCCTTCACGTTCTCCATCTGCAAGGGCAGCAGCGCAGCCCTCTTGTCCGCCAAAGCAGTTTTCGCGGACAGCTCGTGCGGACAGCCGTGTCGGTGGGCAGAGCCTTCCCCCCTCCCTCCCTTCCTCGGCCCGGCCCCGGCCGGTATGGATGCACTGGATGCCACAAACTTTATCTGAAATGGGATCTGGCCGTGCGGCCCCAGAGATCCCACAGCGCGATATGGTGGCGGCGGCGCGGCGCGGCCGAGCCCGCCAGCAGGCAGGCGGTGGCGCGGAGTGGCGCGCGGCGGGCGCAGCATACAGACACTTCCTGCTGCAGTGGTCGGTATCACTGGGACCGAGGGGGGCGTGTCCATTCACAGGGTGACACGCAGAGCCGTCCAGCAGCAGCAGCAGCGGGCACTGCTCTCACCGGGCTGCATCGACCGCTCCTTATCTACTAGCCGTGTCCTGCGGGCTGGGCTGGGCTTGTCGGCCAGTCTACCGAGGATGAAGCGAGAGTTCCGTAGACTACGTGCTTTTGGGGTGCGCACGCAGCTCCACAGCGGCAGGTGTTCCCGGGGAGACGGGCGCCGCCGGCCCGACGGGAGCCCCTGCTTCGCACCCATTCAAATCTCCCGCGCCCGACCATCGTCGTCGTCGTCGTGGTTGTTGTTCTCTTTCTCAGCCCCCCACGGCGGCTTGTGCAGCGCGGGGGCGGAGCGGAGAGTGCACACACCAGACGGACGGACGGAATGCAAGCAAGGCCGGGGCACCACCACACGGTGCGCGCCGCGCGGCGGAGCTTGCTCTGCGCTGCGGTTCTCTGTGCAATCTCTTCATCTGGGCCGGCTGCGTGGGGATAAGGACTCCTCACAGGACACGCCAGGGTGCGCCCCC